CAGCTGGTAAAGGCACGTGCCTGCCACACAAATCTAACAACCTGAGTTCAATCCCTGAAATCCACATAAAGGTGGAGGAAGAGAAACAATCCTGCAGAGTTGCTCCCTGGCCTCCAGAAGCATGCTGCAGACCACATGCATCTCCACAAATCACAGAACTCAAGGCAATAATAATAAATAAAATTTAAAAATTAATCTGGGGAACTAATATTTTGTTTTTAAAGACAAATATCTAGAAATAAACTTGTTAAAAAATGTCTACGATCCACATGCTCAAAAGCACCAAACCCTATGAAGAGGATTAATAAAAAACAAAAGAAAAGTCAATACATTCAAGGGTGATAAGACCCAATATTACAAAGTTTTCTGTGACCCTAAATGGATGCACATTTAGTGGGGAACACCTGAATCCAGGAAGATTCTTGGTTGGCTGCCTTTGTGTAAACACTGATTTGACAGTTTCATTTGGAAATGAAAAGGAAAGAACAGCCGGCCTGTTCTGCAGAAACACAATGGGAGCCAACTATGCTATCAGATAGCAAATTATAGTAATTGCAACAGTGTAGAATTGAGCAAGGATATACAAATAATCAAATGAAATAAAATACAGGGTCCATAAATAGACCCACAAATACACTGTTATTTGACTCAAACTCAAGCAGGAGGGAAATGCAATGAATTACACTGGGTCACTGAATATCCAATTGAGAAAATAATAATCGGACCCCTACACTTCAACTCAAACATAAATTCCAAATAGATAATACATCCAAAACATGGCAAGTAAAACAAAAACACTTGGAGAAGAAAACAGAATAATTATCTCTGCCCTTATTTGGAGGTGCAAGCAGGGAGTGCAGCTACTAGTAAATGTTTGACTAAACAACAGCCCTCCTCTACTGGGAACATGAACTTCTTCACCAGGCACACACCAGTGGTAAGGTGGGAGGAGACACTTGTCTAGACAGCCAATTCAGCTGAATCAACTCTGGTGATTAAATGGGGTGACATGTAACATCCAGATTGTCCTTATACCGCAAATAATTTTCTTCACTGCCTAGTGGAAATTGCAAGTTCTTAAATAGAATGTAAAGAGCATCTCACCAGTTAGGGAAAAAACAAAAAGGTAAACCTAGATGGAGTGGTACACCTTGTCATGGAAGGGAGAGCAGCTCCCTCTTTGCTCATAATTTATAAATAGTTGGCACAGTTAATGACTGATGAGAGAGTAGGAGACATTTTATTCAGTAATGTAGCCACTAGTAAGGTACCCATTCTCCTGTTCAAAAAAAAAAAACAAAAAAACCTCACCCATGCTTAGGTAAACAATCCTAATGAAACTCACTGGATGCATACACACACAATTGTGATAATATAAAAACATAAAAAGGCAAACAACTTCATCAGCTATCACTGAAACTTCAGATTAAAACTTGTTACTATTGTTTGTCTACTAGTCTATTAGAACAGAACAAATGGAAAGGGTAATTCCTAGTACTAGTACAGATTTGAAGCAGCTACCATCACACTATTAGCTAAATATAAATGAAGCAGAAATACTTTAGAAGCGCCTCCTCTACCAATTAGCATTCACAGAGCTGGGAGGTACTATACATGCTAGCATAGGTGAAAAGTAATCAATCCTGCAATCTGTAACATATATAAAATACACTGGTGCAACAGGGGCACAAATATTATGGGAGTATCCAATCACTTCTTGATTGGATTTAAGGCTCATTTGTTCCATGGGACAGAACCCATACCTGACATGGCTAAAGTGGCCAAGAACCTGTGATTAGATTTGTGATGCACCTAAGGCGGAAATCTACTGTCAATCTGCTAAACGAACCTAGCAGTAATATGACTCCCAATGACATTCTGCTATACCCATAGATCCTCCATCCTCATCAGAGAAGCTTCTTGGTGATAGATAGGAATTAACACAGAGACCCACAACTGAACTGTACAGTGAATCAGAGACTATGGATCACTCACTCCTAAATGTGATGTCCTCATCAAACCCCTCCCCTCAAGATTTGGGAAGGAAATGCAAAGATTGTAAGAGTCAGAGGTGATGGATGCCTCCAAGGAAACAGCGTCTTCCATACACAACAGGACTGACACATACAGGACTTCCATACACAGGAATTCATATAGCAGCACACATGAGACCTATGCAGGTTCAGGCCAGATAGGGCCCTGGCACCGAGAATAGAAAGAAGATGCGACGTCATACTCTTAACTCACAAACTATTTGCAACTGACTGCTGGGAAAGGGAAAGTCAGTTTTCTTCAATGGACTATCACTGGGTATCATCAATCACATGCCTAGGCAAACTCCCATACCCGAAACAACTAGCCAATATAAAAGGAATAAAATGAACTCCATGTTTTTGTGAGTGCTGGGGTGTGGAGTGTCTTGTTACTTTTGTCTTATTGGATTGGTTTTTGTGTTTGGACTTTCATTTTTGAGGGTTTTGTTTTTTGGTCTTGTTTGTTTAAAAGAAAAAAAAATTTGTCCACCAATACAAAAGCTGATCATATAAAACCCTTCTGTACTAGATAATATACTGTACTAGATAACATAGATAACCAAGTGTTCATGTGTACAAAATAATAATCAAAAAAATAAATGTCTATTTATAACAGATAAACAAATACATAAATTGTGATATTCAGTTATATACTGAAAAAAATATAAAAATACAATGACACACATTTGCATGCAAGGGTTAACATTCATCAATTTCACAAGCACAGAACTGCTCCAAAGAACATGCACCATAAAAATAAATTGGCACAACAGGTATATTTAATGTATGGTATCCAGGATTAGTTTAATGGCTTCCCTTGGGGCAGGAGACCAGGAGACAGGACAAACAGTGACTCTGGAGTAGTGCATCAGGGTATGTTAGATATAAGGCCATGTTCTTCCAAAATTCACTGAGTTATGCATTTAAGATCTGTAAACATTTCCTTCATGTTTTACCTTAATAGAAAGAGGACAAACACAGATTTTGCTGGTGAAACAACTCTTTTCTTGAAGTGCATATTGTCACAAAGATTTTTCATGTGCTTTAAGTGTAGTTAATTCACTTAATCAACTCTACTTGCTATAAGCTTTTCTATTGTCTTTTCCTAAATTATCCCATTATGAGTTACAGATTCTACATAAACTCTCCCAGTATCTGATCTTACTTCTATATGCTATATATTTGCATCTCCTAGATAGAATATATTTACATACATGCATATATATATTGGTTTTTCAGGATCTAATTTAGTCCCTTAAAGCATACTGATTTGGGTAAATTAGAAACTATTTTCCTTTTATGTAAGAATGAAAAATCTTCAACTCATAATTCACTTTTTTAAAAGTAAAATTAAGATACCATTTTAGTTTATGACAAATGTGCCTATACCAAATCCAATCTAAAAAACAAAACTGCCCAATTAAATCTTCTCTCTTTCCGTCTTTGCTGAGATAGTATTTAACAGGTTTGGACAGCCATTACGCACTTGATAACTTCACAAAAATACCATCATCACAACTAAGACCAAGGTAGGAACAGGTTAATTCTAATTACTAAGTTTCAATTATAATCCATTCTACTATTATCTTCCTAATATCTCATATTGGCATGTCTTTAATCACAGTATTCAGGAGGCAGAGGCAGGCAGATCTCTGAGATTGAGACTAGCCTGGTCTACAAAGCAAGTTCTAGGACAGCCAGGACTACACAGAGAAACCCTGTCTTTAAAAAAAAAAAAAACACAATGAGAGAGGGGAGGGAGGGAGGGAGGGAGGGAGGGAGGGACAGAGGGAGGGGGCAAATGAAATTCTTTACATTCTTCTGGTTTTATAACATAAGCCAATAGGGAAACAGAATTTGATAGACTAACACTTTCTCTATAAACAACTTGTCAAGAATGCATTTATTCTACAAAACAATGGATACTTTATTTTCATCTCAGTTCTATAGATATTTCAACCAAGAGTAACAGGACTTACAGGATGTCAAAAATAATTTATTAGTTCTTTGATAATTTTGTACAGTTTCTTTATTGTGCTCATCCTCTTCCTGACTCCTCCCAGATATACCCTCTCTCCCTTCCTGCCCAACTTTGGATCTTCTTATAGACAAAGTCATCCTCTCAACTTAAAAAGTTCCTATTACATAGCCATCTACACAGGCCTAGTTCCTCTTTCCCTTTAAATACGAAGTCTTAAACACATAGGTCTAGACTAGCTATGGCCAACTTAACTGTGGGTATTCATGTGATGAGAGCTGGGAGATTTTATGCTACTTCTCTGCTTGATTACAAGCCTTACTTAACTTTGTGTTCTTGTAAGGCAGATCCTCCTTCCTCTGCATGTTACCATCTTCACATGTTGAAAAGTTTATGTACAGTCTTCTTTGGACTCATTCCTTTCCAATGATGGAATGGTTAGTTTATCAAAAATCTCTCCAATTTATCAACCTTCTTAATGTACCATACATACTGTATAGGCCTTATGCCTTTTTGCTAAGCAGTCTTTATGAGCTGAAACAGTCATCATTCAATCCATGATGACTCCCACTAATACCTCCTTCTCTCCCTGAGCTGTGTCTACAGTTACATCTGCATTCAGGTAAACTTCTACACTGGCCTTGAGAAAGCACATTTTCAGTGCTGTGTTGGTCCTACTGAGCTGTACAAAAGTTGTTCTTCAAGCCTATGATAAACTTCCCAGAGATAACATCTCTCCTTATTGAACATTCTTTGAACATGAGGAATGAACGGCTTACTGTAATATTTTCTGAAATTCTTATTTCTTCTTTTCTCTAAGTCAAGAGGCCAGTCAACTTTTCTTTAAAAACTTTAAAGTACAGTATATTTAATATTTTTCATTTATTCTGGAATGTTAAACACATAAGAATTGCAATTAAAATTTAAGAAAGATTTGACCATTCTATATTTTTTAAATATGATGACCAACTAAATAAAATTTCATTTACCTGCCGGTTCCTCTCATCCATTATGCGTGTGATTTGAATTTTCTTCCGCCCCATTTTCAGATACCTTTTCTTCCTTGTATTCCAAATAATTAATTCAAAAGCTAATTTTCTTCAATATTCTAATGCATCGTACACAGCTTCTATTATGTAACCTTCTAGTCCAAAGCTACCACTGAATTTTTCTTCAAAATCTAAAAGAAAACAAATGAGAAAATTTCAATTCTGTACAACTTGTAAATCATTAAATGCTACATAAATTTTAAGTATGTTTTTATGTTGACATAGTCTAAGCATTCTTAGGCTGGATTTCTACTTACAGAAATAGAATAAAAGCAGGTTGAAGTCTTTGACTTTACCCCTAAAAATTCACCTGGATCTCTTTGTATCTTTATCTCTAAGCAAATGAAGTTACAGTTGGGAGATTTTCATAATGTACATAACAATAACAACAGCAACAACAATAGCCAATATTACTAAGATTTTTCTATATGCCAGGCACTTTTCTAAGTATGGAAAGAATCTCCATTCATTTTTATGTAGAATCTCTTTAGACTTTATTATCTCTATTTTATAAATACAGAGACTAGGGATGCTGAGACACAGAAAAATTTAAGTGCCGTAGCAAATGCCACCCAGTAAAGGGGCAAACATTGAGACAACACTTCTGAAGTCAGACTCCAGAACGTTCTATTATCAGCAACACACAATATTCTTTATTGTTCCTGATGACCTTTATGCAAAAGATAACTAAGTGAGGGGTTCCCATTTGCCCTTGTAAATTCTAAATCAATTTACCCTACAGCCAAAAAAAGATACTACTATATAAACTTTGTATTATTTTACATTTAAGTAAAATACTATTTCTCTGGCCATTAAACGAATACCTCATCTTCTGTTATTTGATATCCAGACCAAATTTTCAACTTTATCATGCAAATTCAGGGTCTGGTTAAATGCAAATCTACTTGAAGGCAAGGGGCTCTTCACTTCCTAGTATCAATGTATCCCTTCTTACTCCCAAACATCAAATCAAGTATAATGATAAAATGCTCAATAGAGCTAGGGCTCTAAGGCACAACACTTGTCTAGCATGCTGGAGACCCTAGGTTCAATCCCAAGTACAGCAAAAACGGGAAAATGAAAACAAGAGTGAGGGGGAAGGGTGGGACAAAATGAAGCAAGAGAGGCAAGAAGAGACAGAGAAAAGGGTGTGTGTGGGGATGTCAATAATACATGGCTCTTCATCTCACAAAGTCCCGAGTCCACAAGGGAGAAAAGACATCACACCATTACACGAGTGAATCTGTACCATTCAAAACTGAAAATGCCTTGGATTTGCAGATCAGAAAATGTTCACCTGAATATGAAGATATACATATAAGACAACATTATATGCAGATACGTTGCAATAAGAAAAGGTTTAGGAACTCAAAGATGCAGGAGCCAGGTAGATTTGCACTATCAGCAACTGTGCTGGTTACTTTTTGTCACTTATGAAACAGGAACCTCAACTGAGGAATTGTCTTCATCAGATTAGCTAGTGGGCATGTCAATGGAACATTTTCCTAATGCTAATTATGCAGGATGACCCTACCCATGCCTGGGTAGGCAGGCCGAGGCTGTAAAAAAACTGACTGGGCAAGCCAGGGAAGCAAGTCAATAGCAGCCTCCCTCACTGATCTCTGCTTCATTCAGTTCTTACCTCCATGTCTCTACCCTGGCTTCCTTGGATAATGAAATGTAAACTGTAAGCTGAAATAAAATCTCTATTCTCCAAGTTGCTTTTGGTTGTGGTGTTATTCATAGCAACAGAAAGCAAACTAGGACAATAATGGAACTTAACTTATTCCAAATCATGTTTCCTAACAGATCACACTCCAATTCCTATCATTAAAAACTGTGTACTGTGCTGGCAAGATAAATATTAATACACACTGAAGAGATGTGACTGTTGAAGTACGCAAGGTCTTCTAGTGCCTCAAAATATACATATATACTCTCTCTATAGTTGGAACAATTATGAATTCTACTATGTATCTAAGTATTTTTGTTTCACAGTTGCCAAACAGGACACTCAAAGTCAACCTTCCTCTTGGAACAACTAAAAAAATTAAAACTAAAAGTATTTTAAGACAATGTGTAACTTTCAACACATGATAATTTGCAGGTCTGAGATCTAGAATAAACAAGTCTCTGGAATTCTGTTGTTGTTAGGGGAGGTGGAGTCTATAACTATTGACCAAGAGACTGAGAAAACCAACAAAGTTTCTAACACATCTACAATTGGAAGTGTAGAAATTAGATTCCAGGCCTGCCCAGGAGAATTAGCCCGAGTAAGCACACCAGGCACCTGGAAAGATTCCAACAGCCTATCTATCCCACAGACACTCAGATACTTGAGAAACAGAACATCTCACATGGGGAGGACAGCTATAGTCATTTCAACCCCGGATGAGAGTAAGGTAACCTGGACTAGTGAAAGCTATTAGTATAGCTACCATTCAGTACTAAAAGTAAACCTTAGCTCCAACATAACATTACCATCGTATTCACAAAAACAATTTGAAAATAGAAATTGAAACTTACCTATCTATATTAGATCAACAAAATTTGTTCAAAGAATTACTTTTAAATGAATTAGAAATGGAAGAATAGGGCTGGAGAGATGGCTCAGAGATTAAGAGCACTCACTGCTCTTCCAGAGGACCCAGGTTCAATTCCCAGAAATCACATGGCACATAAATTGTTTTTTAAAAAATGGAAGAATTAAAAGAAACAATTTTGAAGGAAAAAAACTTATGAAATGGTTTAATAACAGACTAGATACAATTGAAAAAATATAAAATCAACAAACCAAAGCACAGCAAGAAGAAAGCACCTAGACTGAATGAAATAATAATAATAAAAAATACATGAGCATGAGAAACAGAAAAGGGTATGAAAAATCAAGAGAAAATTAAAAAAGGATTCAGAAACACACAGTGATAGAGCTAGAGAAATGGAAGGAAAAACAGTGAGAAATTATTTGAAAACATGGTAGCTAAGAACTTTCCAAACTACCATGATATCAAGCCACAAAATTCTACAAATCCTGACCAAATACTTCAATAATAAACACCCTGAAGTGCATAGGAGGAAGACCCTCAAAGAAAGAACTTAAAGGGAAAACACTTTTTGAAAACATTTCCAAAACAGCCATTTATGTAGTTAGCTGATGTGTTGCAAAGTGCAGCAAAGTATGATAGAGAATAACAAGCTAGAATTCTGTGTCTCAGAAAAGTGTGCCTTGGAAAAAAAAAAGGGGTCAGCTGGGCATTGGTGGCGCATGCCTTTAATCCCAGCACTCGGGAGGCAGAGGCAGGCGGATCTCTGTGAGTTCGAGGCCAGGCTGGACCGACAGCCTCGAAAACAATACAGAGAAACCCTGTCTCGAAAAACCAAAAAAATAAAAAATAAAAAAATATAAAAAAGGGGTCAAAACATCAGCATTTTTAGGTGAATAAGACAAAGCATCTTTCAGATTATACTGAAAGTCAGGACCTCTTCAAATAGAGGAAAAATGGATAGCAGATATGATTTGAATAGGTACAAAAAATTTAGTACAAGAAACAGAATGCATAAGCAATTCTACATAAATACTAACTAAAATGTTAACAGTAATACTTTGAGAAATTAAAATATTAGAAGACACAAAATAATAGTATTTTTAAGGAGGGTAGCAAATGGAGTTAAAATATTTTATTGATGAGCAAACTGAATGCTCTACTTGAGACTTTAGTAAGTCAAGGGTATATGTCACAATCTCTAGGGTAAACCGCTGAAAGAACAATGAAAAGTATGTGTAGGTTAAAATGCTACAAGAAGGGGAAATGGATTAATGAATCAAAAAAAGGCAAAGAAGAGGATATAAATGGAAAGCAAACAGGGAGTGACACATGTAATCCAAGTATATGGGTATTTACATTAAACATAACTAAATTAAACATCTAAATAAAAAAGATAACAGAACTCCATTTAAAAACAAACCTCATTTTATGAGGATTATAGAGGTGGTAATTTAACATGAAAGCACAAGCAGAGAGAAATACACACTGTGTAAAACACAAACCAAAGGAAAAGTTTTATGCCATAGTTTATCATGACGAACTTCAAGGCAGGACAGACACAAACACAGGGATGAAAACATTGGACAATTTACAAAAAAGCTCTATTCAGGCCAGTGAAATGGCTCAGTGGGTAAAGGTGCCTGTGTGTAAGCCTGTCTACCTAAGTTTGATCTGTTCCATGACCTCCATAAGTGCACCATGGCACATGTACACTCACAGACACATACATACCACTACCACCATCACTAAATAAATAAATAGCTTTGATTTTATGTATAATGAATGTCCTCCCAGCATGTGTGTCTGCATATCAGCTGTGAGTATGGTGCCCACAGATACCAGAAGAGGGCATTGGATTCCCAAGAGCTGGAGTCACAAACAGCTGTCATCCATCATGTTAGTCTTGGGACTCAAACCTTAGTTCTCTTCAAGAGCACCTAGGGTTTTTAACCTCCAAGCTATCTCTCCAGTCCCATTTTTTTTTGAAGTTCATTTTACAGTAAGATATAATACATAATATCACATATAACCATGAATTTTTATTAAAAATCAGATCTTCTGTCAGCTAGTGGTGCCACACGCCTTTACTCCCAGCACCGGAGAGGCAAAGGCAGGCAGATGTCTGAGTTCCAGGCCCTCCTGGCCTACAAAGCTAACTCCAGAGCAGCCAAGGCTACACAGAAAAACTCTATCTCAAAAGACAGAAAAAACAAAAACAAAAAAATTAGATATTCTATGCAAAACTATAACCAAGAGCTTATTTACTATGCTGTACATTAAGTCATGCTCTCCAATCATTCCTCTTTTATAAAAAAAATTTAACTGGAATAATGAAAATGCCCATTCATAGAAGTAAGTTAAACTGGTTAGTATATAAAATGTTTACTACACAATTTAAGGGGCAGTAGCTTTCTCCCTGGCATTTTCCCCGTTGAGAACCAAGCACTTTTCGACATTTTTATACATTGCATAAGTTTAAGAAAAATTATCAGACACGCTGAAGACAAATGTACATGGCAGGTGATGGCTCAAAAACTTTTAATATGCCTTCCTGCTGATGTCAGAGCCACATTCTCTTTTACTAC